CTGGGACGCAGCCAACCACAGGGCTTCCATCCAGGCCTGGACCCCAGCCAGGTGTGCTGAGGCAGATCTTCAGTGCAGTGCTCTGGTCCCCATAGCCCTGCAGGAGCTGGGCGGGCCAAACAATACTGTGACTTTTTAAATAACAAAAAATGGTCTGGTTTGACCAAGACTGAAGTGGTGTGAGTAGTTCTGGACAGCGTGGCTCTATTTATGGTCTCGAAAGAACTATCCCTATTCAGCTGAGCAGCAGACACTCATCCATTCCCTCTTCTCAGGAAGTTTCTGCCACTGCTAGTTGGGAAAGTGAGTTTCCCCACAGCTGCAATCCTCCTGGATTCAGTCTGCACTTCTGCCAAGGCTCATCACTGTGTCCTGATTATCAAGTATGAAGCTCAGTACCCTCATCCCCCCGTCCAGTGTCAAAAATAGAAGTAACATCCTGTTTCACCATTGCCAATGAGTCCTCACTTAAATTCATGGAAGTTCCAAGAGAACCTGAGGTTTCCCCTCTATTAAAACTGGTTCCTGTGAGGCCACAACTTGCAGTAGCCTGTGCACCTCCCACCCCACATTGTGTAACTGCTACTGAACTTCAGAACATGTTCACAACACTTGAAGAGGCTCTTCCTGTGCTGAAAAACAGAATATAGAAAAGTTATTACAGGAATCCCGAGATCTTTTAAAAATTTAACAATTGCTTCCCCCCCGTTTCGTTTACAACACTGAGATACAGAACTCTTCCATTCTCACTTGTTTTCCCAAGTTCTCACACCACACAGGAGTACTTACCTACACCCAGCTGAATCCACGCCCTTACCTTGAAGCTGTTATTACTCCACAAAGCATTTCTGTAGATCATCACAGAAGGAAACCATCACAGCAGCTTCTCCAATATCAGAGCACTCATTTCAATGCCTCTTTACCTGCTTTCTTCACAGGCCCTACAGGCAGCAGAGCCCCAGTGACTCTACAGCTCTCCCCCTTCATCCAAAGGGACTGCAGACAACAAAGAAAGAATTTTAAAACTTATTTATGTGCCAGAAGAAACAAAAATTGTGTCACTTCTACAAGTCGTTATGAAAACCCTCCCACCCAGCTGACTTGTGTGCTGGCAATTACACAGGGTCAACGATTACAACAGAGAGAAGGCCAACGTCTTAACAGTTCTCCAAGCTCTGCTGACATGGATGGTGACTCCACAAAAACAAAACACCTTAAAACTTACCCAGAAATGTTTTTACACTCAATCTCATACACACATGCGTTCCTCATGTGGATTGCAGGCACGTTTCCAGTACGTTATCCAGTGAAGGTCGAATTTACAACGAAATCTTTCAGGTTTTAATTAGGAGCAAGAGTTTACCACGATGAAAGCAAAGAAAGCATACAAACACGCACTAATTGCTTCTTTGCAGAAAGCCAACACACGTTCCTACTCCTCCTTGTTCTCTGCACCATCTTCCACGACTTCCAGCTGCTTCTCCTCACTCTCAGGGCACAGTGGTTGCTTACTGGAGTGCACTCAGACCAAATTCATTTTTGCAAAAAGGAAAACTCGCGGTTTCTGCAGCGTAGGATGCTGGTACAGCAAAGCACAGACAAATATGACAGCTTAGCAGGCTCAGGACCATACAAGCACTTGAAGCAGCTTCCATAAAATGCATTAAACCAGAGTATACCCATTTAGAATGTATTTAGAATACAGCAGAGGCAGGCCTTCAGTTCTTTAGTCACTTTGTGTTTTTTCACATGGAAAACTGAGACTGCTTATTTCTGCAGTATGACTATAAGGTTCCTGTGGATCTTGCAATTAAGACCTGCTGGGTCAGAAGGTAAGTGGCTGTAAGCATTTCCAGATGAACAGTGTAAAAAGATTACCAACGTTTGAGATAATACAGGTTTTAAAATTCCAAGTTCTAAGCTGTGTAAAATCCAGCCTGACAAATATTGGGTACCCCAAACTCATGAGAACGAACTGTACAACACAGGAAACTATGTGTCAGGCACATCAAGCCTTCCTTTCATGACCTTTTCACATCAATTCTCTCCTCACTGAGACATCAGCAGCATCTACATTGTCGGATAAACACAGTAAAACAGTGAAGTAATTTCATCTGTAAAGCAGGATCCTTGTCTCCTACGCTGAGCAGCAGCATGGAAACAAGGTGGGTGAAGGAAGAGTAGGAATCACTGCAGGTGATATCAGTGATACTTAGCACATAAAAGCGAAGTATGTAGTTACTATGTCAGCAAATTTACCCTGGACAATTTCATACCATGTTTTCTGCCATTTGTAGAAAAGACTCACACACCCTATCACACTACTTACCATCGTTACTTGGTATCAGCTGTACAAACATAAGCATAAGCTTAGCCTTAAAGTTTAAGGACAGCAACTGTTCTGACACATAATACTGTCTGTTTTTTTTCCCCTTCAACAAAACTAAAAGCATCCACATAGAGAAAATAAAACCAACAAAGAGAGTGATGCTTTTAATTCAGAATTCCTCAGGTGTGTAAAACTAAACTGGAAATTATAGTAGCAGAAAAGCTTTATATTCTTCTCTTCTATGACAAATGCAGCAAAAATGGCTAAGGTGGGGTGGGCAGAAGCTACGTGAGGTGTACGTGCTTTTCTAAGATGCCTGACCTTTTGTGGGAAGATGGAGAAGGCAAAAAGCTGGCTCAGATCCTTTGCCAAGAGGGATGTGGATTTAAAGAGATAGAAGAAGAGCAAGTACTGCTACAATACCAACAAATATTTCAAGATGCCAAGGCTCAGGTTTTATGAATTACTTATCATCTCAAGATAGTCCTTCACCATCTGATAGCGCCGTGGGGAGGACAGACCACCACACCTGTGCAGTTACTGTGAAGCGTTGTTCTGAGAAATTCACTGCACTTACCTCCAGGAGGAGCCAAAATACTTCAGAAAAGAAAAACCTGTAAATTCTTTTTCCAGACCTACACCACCATTGGGCTTTGGCCCATACTTTCAGAAACCCTTTGAAACTCTCCAACTCCTCTAAGTGAAGTACCTTCTTGAAGGAATAAAACACTTTATTTTACAGGAATCAGCTGTAATGAAAAACAAAGTTATTTAACACACCATACAACACGCTGTACTTCCTCCCACTTTGGAGTAAGGGTTATTTCAGCAATAACCACCCTTCAGGGAAAGGAAACAGAAATTCACCTCCCCTTGGACAAATGGATCATTGCCCCCATTCTGTGACACAGAGCACCACACAGGCAGCAGCAATGCTCAGTGCACAGAACTCTACACACCATTTCCTCAAAGCAGCAGCCAGGAAGAGGGCGTGAAGGTAAGACTGCACACAAAGTGGGAGTGCTGATAAAGATTAGCCGATGTGACGCAGCAAGCACTGCTTAGAAGGCAGGGAAACAAGTAGCTCAGCCAACTCCAGACTGGCTCAGAGAAGCCTGAAGAAAAGAAGGCTGCGTGTGATCTCATGGCAGCTTTTCAGTACCTAAAGGGAGTCTATAAACAGGAGGGGAATCAACTCTTTGAAAGGGTTGATAACTGCAGGACAAGGGGAAATGGTTTGAAGTTGAAGGAGGGAAGATTTAGCTTGGATGTCAGGGGGAAGTTCTTTACAGAGAGAGAGGTGACGTGCTGGAACAGCTGCACAGAGAGGCTGAGGATGCCTCATCCCTGGAGGTGTTCAAGGCCAGGTTGGATGGGGCCCTGGGCAGCCTGGTCTAGCATGAAATGTGGAGGTTGGTGGCCCTGCATGTGGCGGGGGGGTGGAGCTTGATGATCCTTGAGATCCCTTCCAACCTGGACATTTTGTGATTCTATGAGAGAAACGAACCCCACAGAATGCCTTGGGTTGGAATGGACCCCAAGGATTATCAAGTTCCAACCCCAAAGCCACAGGCAAGGCCACCACCCGTCACATTAGTACTAGAGCAGGCTGCCCAGGGCCCCATCCAACCTGGCCTTGAGGATTATCCCACCTTACCCTTTCTCCATGCATGGATCTATAGATCCGTTTGGAGCACAGCGCGCCGAGCAGCGAGCAAAGCTCCTCCTGCTGGCCGCAGATCGCCCTCAGCAGCCGCGCACCCCCGACTGCACGCACGGCCCAGCGGCCCCTGCGGGCCCAGCACCCGCTGCTCTCTGCGGGCTCTCCCGCCTCCGCGCCGCCTCAGCCCCGCAGACAGCACGCACGAAGGGCGGGCAGCTCGTCGCCGCGCTCCCAGGCGCCGTCCCCAGCAGCCTCCCGTCCCGCCTCAGCGCGGTCCCGGCTCGCACCGCCTCACACGGCCGCGCACCCACCTCAGCGGGCGCCGCTCCCGCCTCGGGACCCCGCTAACCGTTAGCCGAAACGGCGCCCTGCCCCTCCGCTTCCAGCCCTCCGCGCCATCTCGGAACGGCCGCCCAGCTCCCCCTTTCCCGACATCTCGCAGCCGCTCCTCCTGCGCTAAAGCGATCCCGCGCCACCAACATGGCGCCCGCCGCCCGCTCCCCCTCCTCCTTTTGGTCTCAACCTGGAGGCTGCGCGGCGCGGGGGCCACCGGGATGCCGAGTGCTTGCGCTCCTTCGCTCCCTACGGCATCCAGGCGCAAAAAACTACAATTCCCAGAATCCCTTTCTCCAACCAATGGGAACGCGGCGCCTCTTCCACTCGCCCCGCCCCCGCGGGCGAGAGGGTGATGTCATCTCATCGCCCGTTCATTGTGCTCGCGCGGTGCCGCCTCTCGCTGCCGCTGCCAGCGCCGGGCACGGCGGGGGGGCGCGGGGCTGCGCTGTGTTGCGCTGCGCTCCCGCTCCGCGCCCTGCGCCGTCTGGGGCTGCCCCAGTGCGGTACCGGCACGCCACGCCCCCGCCCCCCCCTTCTATCCCGAGGTTTCCTCGCGCCGAACGCATCCCGGGAGCGGCAGGCAGCCGCACGCCGGGGTTCAGCGCCCTGCTGGGGGTGAACGGGGCTGCCCTGTGTCCGGCCCCGGGGGTGGGGGGCGGCAGCGCGGAGGGGGCTGTCCGGCGCCAACCCCCGGGGGGGTGGACGCAACCGTCCGGCCCCGCTGTGCTCGGCTCCCGCCTCGTTTTACGGCCGTGGAGAGGGAGGAAAAATCCCAAACCAGGTGAGTGCTGCGCTCTTCTTCTTAAAAAGGAAAAATACAGAACGTGAGGGAATTCGGGGCGGTTTTTCGTTTGGGGTTGTTGAATTGTCCCCCCGCCTTCCTCCTCTTCAATGCGTTTGTCCGCACGGTGCATTGCCCAACGCGGGGAAGCGCTGCCGAGCGGGTTTGGGGAAAGAAGGAAAAAAATCCAGACTGAAGGGGAAAAGCCAAATTGAAGGCAGAAATCCAAATTTAGGGGAGTGAAGCCAAATTTGGGGGAAAAAAAAAAAAAAAAAAAGAAAAAGCAACAAATGACAGAAATAATTCGGCTACGGAGCGCTGCGCGTCCCGGGGAGCGGCGGGGCGGGGATGGGGACCGAGCAGCACCCCGCGTGTCCCGCATCGCACCGGCGGGCAGTACCGCTATGTTGTCATGTTTTACCGCTATGTTGTCATGTTTTACCGCT